GCTACCTGAATCCTGGTTATAAAATCCTAAGTCTTCCAGTCATATGGGAAAGGTCAAGAGATCATGTCAGCACTGTCACCAAAAGAGCTGCTGGAGTCTTCCTCCAACTGCTCTCTTCCTGCTTTGGTGACACTTGATTCCCCCCACAGGCCAAGAAATATGGAAAGGAATGAAGCAGCTGATTTGCCAGGTGGTTGCAGCCCAAGGTCACTGGCTGGTTCCCCCCCTGGGAAAGTGTATTTTAGTCCTCAGTCCTCAGCAAACTGCATTTTCCTGCCCGAGGACAATACGAGATGCCTGTTTCTCTCTTTAAGAAAATCAGTTAAAAGCTTTTCAAATGCAACAATTTCCAATGGTTTTATCAATATTTTATAGATGTATCTCCCAGAACCTCAAAAAGTATTACAAAGCTGAATTGAATTTGCTCATTTTTCCCCCTCTCTTTTATAGAAATACAACAAACAAAAGAATCAATTCCAATTTGGGGGAGTGTTTTGGTGGGGGAGCCCCTATTTCAGGTCTGGAAAAGATTCAGGATATTCAATTTAAGATGGGAATATACAGAGTGGGTGAGAGGACAAGAACTCCTGTCTTCAGAATAAGTCCTTACTGTCACCACCAGCCCCTGGGAAATAAAATTATAAGGACTTCACTATGATCACATCCCCAAGCAATACATGAAGACCTTAATCCAGGAAACTATAAAATACAAAAGCAACAGCTAAAATCTGAGACAATATTCTATACGAGACTGTCAGACCTCTTCCAGTTTCTCCAAACCTTGGGGGGAAACTGAAGCTGGAACAAATAATAATGCTAATACAACCTTTGAAAAGTTGAACTGAAAAACAGGACAAGCCTTAAGCATTTTCCAGAATAGAAAGCTGACATTTTGTTTTCAAACCTCACATAATCCTGCTATCATTGTTAGTTAATGCTTCTTTTCTCTAACATTTTATTTTAAAATAAATAAGTTCTGTTGTTGTTGTTTCTGGGTTTTTTGGTTTTGTTTTGTTTTGTTTTTTGTTGTTGTTGATGTTTCTGTGTTTCTGTATATACAAGCATTCAGTGGATGGGTATGACCACATCCCTTCTACCTAGATTCTAACAATCAATATTTTATTCATTTGGGGGGAGGGGGTAGCATACCGGGGACTGAACTCAGGGTCACTCAACCACTGAGTCACATCCACAGCCCTATTCTGTATTGTATTTAGAGACAGGGTCTCACTGAGTTGCTTAGTGCCTCACTTTTGCTGAGGCTGGCTCTGAACTCATGGTCCTCCTGCCTCAGTCTCCTGAGCCCCTAGAATTACAAGTGTGTGCCACCATGTCCAGCTACAATTAATATTTTATTCTACTACCTTTCTTCAATAGCTAGTCCTTTATCCATCAGTTCTTCTTCTTCTTTTTTTTAATGCATTCCACAGTAAATAAGTTTGCCGAATGGAGCCCACTTCACCAAACTCTTACATAGCTGGCATTTCAACCATTTCTCATTGAAGGTTGTGAGGTCACTAGAAAGAAAGTGAGCTGAATGCTCATTGTGTACCTAGAGTCAGGGCCTGTTATGATTTGGATAGGAATTGTCCCCTAAGAAGTAGAAGATGGTTAAAAGACATGAGAGCCAAAAAATAATAAATTTAACATGTATGCTTGGAAATACTTCTAGCAAGAATAACTATCCACTACAGAATATCCTTATTTCTTCTTACAGGACACTGAGAATATTATTCATGATGGCATTCATTTAAGGAAGGTTTTGAAATTCTAGATTTTATTTTTCTAACTTAATATATGCACAAATTCTACTTGCTGAAAATTACCTAGCTTTCTCTCCACACTGCAATTATTTTAGGACTTAGATTTTTTATAGCAGTAGCTTACTACGTCCTCAAGGGAAGAAAATGAATTTTACACAGTTTCTTAATTCACACCAAGAAATGGCCAAAGGGATGCAGAATGTGGCTCAGGAGGGAGGAAGCAAGTGAGATGGTGTGTTGTTCTGTGCACCAGACCCTCTCAGTGTCCTGCCCCACACACCCACTGGATCCCTTTTAACTGATCAACCTGGTACCCATCTCCCAGCTTTTGTAGGCTTGGCTTCCAAAAGATGGCTCTCAAAACTTCTTAAGAAGAACTCCTTTCAACCCTGGAGCTGCTTTCTGTTTGGAGAGCAGAAATGTTGGGAAGTTTATGGGCCCTCTCCTCCCTGCCCACAGCAATGACTGAGGGGGAAACAGGAAAGCCGGGTCTCAATGCCATGAACACACTCTCTGGAGCAACCATGCTGCAGACTGCCCCAGGGATCAGGGTAAGGAAGGAATTTTGCTGAAATCATTCCCCTACTTGGCTTCTTCCCTTCCCCCATTCACTAGTTCCCCTGGGAGCCCTGACTTAATAAAGTACTTGTGCCTCATCTCAGGTCTACTTCTGGAGAGCTCAGCTCCAGACTACCAGCATGTAAGAATGTGCTCTAAGAAAATGAGAAGCCATAGATATCTGTGGTTGCTCTTGTTGTGCCAGGGGTAAAGAAGAAACATCAGTGACACTATAGAGTTTGAAAGTAACTGCAATATCCATGGCTTAATAAACCATGGTTCCTAAAGACTACTGCAGCAACTTTAAGACCTCTAGGTCTCAAATCTAGAAAAACGATAGTAACTGATAGTACAACGTATCTGTCTCTCCAGGCATGAGAGTAGACAGGCCAGGAAAGTGTGTAAAGCTCTGAAGTACAGATAAAAAGAAAGTGAAGTCAACACCAAGTTTTGGTGAGCTGTATACCTAACGCTTATGTTAAAACTCTGCATATAATCAATACTTAATAAGAACAATTATAAAAGCATTCACAGAGGATTGCTACACCCCAAACACGTATTAAGTAAGTTTTTCAAAAGAATAGCATGACTTTCAAACTCAAATCCTACATGAAAGAAGTTATCAGGTTGCTTTCTTTCTTTTCATCAAACTTGAAAGCAGTCTTTGGTTTGATTAGACTAATAAATTCCTCATCATCAGCAAAAGTTAGTCTGAAGCCAGCAATGCAAGGATACAGATAATTCATCCAAGAATAGTTACTTTGTTCTTTATCTAATTTTTTAAAAATTTTAGTAGATTATTAATTAATGCTGATAATAAGCTAAGTTTAATGTGACACAAATAAGCAAGAAAAAAATACACCACTACAGGAGTTAAAAATATATTCTGAATCCCTACAGTGGATTTAAAAGGCAAGAAAAGAAAAGAAAGAAAGAAAAGAAAAAATTAGAATTAGGACTACCATATTAGTCAGCGTTGCTTACTGTTGGAATCATAGGGAAATAAGGCAGACCCAGAGAAATTCAGGTTCTAGGGTCTAGATGTTTCCAGATTTAAGTATGGGAAGACATTTTTAAAATTAACAGATTTCAGTTCAATATTTTTTAAACTAATAAAATATCCAACATTTGAATGGTGCTTGAGTAGAGACTAAATTTTCTGATATTTAGGAGAGGATGGAAGGAAATACAAGGATGTATTTATTCTCTTTGGGGGAGGAAGGCAAGACTGACACAAACACCCAACATCTGTTGACCTAGAACCTGATACCATCCAAAGTTTTTGTAAAATCAAATGTACTTAATGTAAAGTAATTTTTACTTTCAACTTAAAATATTTAATAATAATAATAATAAAAACACTTCTAAGTTGTGGAGTTGTTGTTGTTCTTCCTCCTCCTCCTCCCTTTCCTTCTGCTTGAATCAAGTATTTATATTCATTAAACACATAATTCTTCATAGGAACCATTCATAATGCAGCTGATGAAAAACGGACTTATTTCAGGATACAACAACTACAAGGAAAGGGAACAGCCCAAAAAAGGAGTAAAAAGTAGATGATACGTCTATACTGATTTAAGGTCACTAAAATTCTCAGCACCCCTCAACTCTGCTTTGCCTACAAAGACAAGGCTTATGAGTCATCCTTAGAGAATAGTAAAATATAGTGCACTCTACTAAAAATAGGGAGGAACATTTGATAATAAATCTACTTTCTTGGTATTCTCATGTCATCGTTAAGCACTGATCCCTTGGAAGAAGTGTCAGGTTATGCGACTCCCTCCCTGCCCTCACAGAAAGGCCGGAAGGAAGTCAGCCACAGGCACTGGCAGAAGGTAATGCGGTGTCTGATGTGACACACAGCACACTGAAGACAAACTCACTGATGTAGAAAGCCTGGGACACTGACCTCTCCTATAGGGAGAACAGCAAAGTTGCTGATTTGCATGATCACTATAAAATGACTTCTTATCCCTCCAAGAAAGAAGGGATAAGGGATACTTTTTTTAAAAAAAACATATTGCTGCAATTAAAAAACAGCAAGATGATTATGAGGTCAGAAAAAAAAATACTCTTGTGTTGATTAGGAATCTGGTTCTAACATAAAGCATTGGCAAGTTCCAGTAAATAAAACAAATTGACAATATAAAGATATTTCCAGTTCCCATTTGGGCATTTTATGAAAGGTTTGTGAAATAGAACATTTGGGGACCATTGGAAGAATTTACGGACATTATCCCTGCAGGTAGTTGTCCCCAGGTGAAGGATTTTAGCTGACAATGAGCTTGACTGTGAGTTTTCATGTTGGTGGAAACCTTCACAGTAAAACCCGCATAGGACCAAAGAGTCATATATGTTTTCCCTCAGAAAGAACTGTGGAGAATGAAAACCTCAAATGCACCTCTTGCTTACTAGGAACAGGCAACACTACCACAGACACCAAGTAGAATATCTAACAAAAGCTGTAGTCCTCAAGTCAGCATGGAATGAATGAACTGAAACCTAGAAAATCCTAAGAGATTCTGCTGAACACCCCACCACATCAAGGAAAACATCCTGAACAAGTTTCAAGAGGCTCCAGATGGGGCAACAGTGTGGAAGAAGAGATTCCTTTTCCAGACAGAAAGTTCTAGAACTCCACCACCAATAAATCTTCACCACTAGGTGCAGAGTACTCACCAGAGAGGTCTGGGACGAGAGCAAATGATGTCCACTTGATCAGACTCACCACTCAGTGCCCTGTAAAGCAAACAGGCACAGACGTTGAGAAAAATCAATGTCTAGGGTTTTCTGAAATCGCATGAAGAGATATAGTCTTTGCACTTCAGATTCAAAGTCTACAATATATTTCTTAAAACTCATCAGAGAGACACATTAAAAAATTACTGACGGGCTGGGGTTGTAGCTCAGTGGTAGAGCGCTTGCCCAGCATGTGTGAGGCACTGGATTCGATCCTGAGCACCACATGAAAAAAAAAAATTAAATTAAAAAAAAAATTTACTGACATTAGTTTTAGTCAACAAAGACATGGTCATTAAATCAGAATCATTTACTGCTTTACCCTGATCACAGTGTTCATACATCCTAGGGTGCTGATTTCCTACCCAACCTCTTATTTTAGTGAAATAATTAAGTAACAATTGAACAACAAAGCTATCTAGAATCTTCTTGAAGAAAATATAATTGTCTTTCCTGATTAACAGTAAAGTGCACTGTAATTGGAAGAATCTTTCAAATGTCCTCAGATGAACTGTAACTGGAAAAAAAAAAAAAGCGTTCCAAGAAGCATAGTGCTGAACAGCAAAGATTGGCAACGGAATTGCATCTTTCCAGAGAATGAGACATTGTTTTCTATGTGTGTTTCTGTACTTCTTTGCTAATCAGTGGTTTACTTCCATTCTGGAGTTGACACTAGATTTCTAGTTTGGCTCCAATTTTGATTTCAAGATCTTTCCAAGATTCAGTGGAAAAAAAAAAAAAGGTCCAGGTATCATAAGTACATCAAAGGGATAGAGAGCCCCACTGCACGTGGGAAGAAAGTACCGGCTTTAAAAACTGGCAATCAAGACCCGGGAAAATGCTGTCTGTAAAGGTTTGAATTTGGAACTTGTAAAGTGTCCGCATCTATGTATGGAAATGTCCACACCAGGGCCCCAGTCCCAGGAAGGATGGTACATCCACACAAAATAAGACTATGAGACTATTTCCAGTAAAAGAAAGAAGCAAATCTGAATCTAAATGAATGGTCATGAAACTAATTCTCCGGTCATACCATCAGTTTGTAAATAACCAAAGTAGTGTAGCAATACATGTACTAGGACTGAATTGTATTAATACAAACCTCACCACCTCTATGTGAACACACAGACATAAACATTGACATACGCACAAAGCGTATCTGGAGGAGTGACAAGAAACAAGAATATGGTGGCTGCTTCTGGGGAGCAGGTATTGAAGTGGAAAGGGAGCCTTTGGTTTTTGTTTGTTTGTTTACTTTTTTTGTTGTTGTTGTTACTGAGATTGATCCCAGGGACATTTTATCACTGAGTTATATCCCCTCCCCTTTTATTTGTTATTTGGAAACGGGGTCCCATTAGATTGCTTATGGCCTCACTAAGTACCTGGTCTTGAACTTGTGATCTTCCTGCCTCAGCCTCCCAAGCCTCTAGGATTATAGGAGCAGACCATGGTGCCCGGCTGAGCCTTTTAATACTTAAGTGTTATGTAATATTTGAACATGAAGTTTTCATAATTGAAACCACAGAAAAATCCAATTCACTCCAAGCCTTCTATGGAAAGAAACATTCCATTTTAAAAAGAGAAAAATGAATTAACAAATAAATATACAGCATTATGTAAACAGACTTTATTAATTTTATAAATGTTTATTATGTTCCAGACTCTAAGCACAAATTACATCTTCATAATAGCCTACAAAAAAAAACCATAAAATACATGTGCTCTGATTATTACTATTTTATAGAAGAGAAACCTGAGAAGAACAGGGAATATTCAAAAATCACAGCTGGCACTGAAACCCAGGCACCCTGATCCATGTTGAGTCTTTGCCCCTGTGATATGCCTCCCCCCCTGGGATTAATCATATTTCTCTATGTTACGTGTTAATTTGAGACATGGTCTTGTTAAATCACCCAGGAAAGCCTTGAACTTGCAATCTTCTGCCTCTGCCTCCGAAGTAGCTGGGATTACAGGTGTATGCCACTGTGCCTGCCTTTATATTTATATTTGTATTTGTAATTATATATGAGCAAGATTGTACATGCCATGAGAACAGGGATTCTGTGTGTATTGAAAACCATCATGTACATACCCAGCACCTCGCATACTGCCTACTCTTAGTAGGCGCTCAGTAAATCCATGTTGAATGGATGAATAACTAAGTGACTCACCTAGAGCTGGGAAGTTAAATTACATAACTCTCTCAGGCATCTTGGGACTATGAAACAGGCTGAGTTCCAAGAAAGCTTACTAATTAATGACCCTGCCAAACTTTGCTCCTCATTTTGAGAAACCTCTAACTGCCCAAGTCTTTTTGTAACCAGACTTAAAAAGTGAACACATATTTTTCCTTTCTTTCTCTAATTCCCTAGGGACCATCCAGCATTAAACTGTCACACTGTTCTATAAATCTTTCTAACTCTGTGCATACTTAGGATACTGCAGCATTTGAGAAAACCAGTGTTCTAATACCTCACAGAGAAGTCAAGCAGAATGAGCAATTTGTCATGGACTCATTTGCTACTGGCATTTCATGGGCAAACTCCTGTTAATGACCTTGTGTTGTAGTCACATGTGAATGAAGAGCCCAACCTACCAACTTTTCCATTCAAATATTATTATTTTGAGTTCGTGGGGTCTTTAGTAAAGGGGGGACTAGATAGACGAGGTTAGATGAGGGGGCAAGTATGTCTGGGTGTGTTTGTGTGTGACTCTCTGTGTTTTACTCTTTCAAAAGAAGATATTTTTGCATAAAATAGAAGGAAATCTAATAGTTAAACAAAATACCCAAATCCCAGTATTGTACAGATGTTAGAGAAATAAAAGCTGTTATATATCCAAAAAGGGTACCAAGACCATTCAATGAGGAAAGATAATCTACTCCACAAATGGTGCTGGAATAACTGGACAACCACAAACAAAAAGTTGAAAGTAGATTCCTACCTCACACCATAGAGAAAATTTAGCTCAAAATGGATCACAGATGTCAAATGGCAGAACCCCTCTCCCATCCTGTTTTACCTTCTGTGGTTTCAGTTACCCACACTCAATGACAAGAAGGGCAACTAAAATACAATATAAAATACAATATCTGGTGAGAGACCATAGTCATGTACATTTTATTACACTGTATTGTTATAATTGTTCTATTTTAATGTCGTTGTTATTAATCTCTTCCTATGCCTAACCTAAATTTTATCACAGATGTGTATGTCGAAGAAAAAGTATTTTTATATAGGGTTTGGTATTATCTACAATTTCAGGCATCCACAAAAAACGTCTTGCAATATATTTATTCCCTACTGATAAGGGCAGAATACTGTGTAAAACTCTGAAAGTAAACATAATATTGGAGTAAGTGTTTTTAACCTTGGATTAGGCAATGGTTTCTTATCTATGATACCAAAAGCACAGCAACAAAATGAAAAAAAAAAGTACATGAATTAGGCCTCTTTAAAAGCTTTTGTATAAAGAATAGCATCAACGGAAAGAAAAACTATAAGTAAACAGCACAATGACCAGTGGATAGAGGGACAGGAACAGGGAGAGGGAGGAAGGGAAAGAAAAGGGAAGTACTGGGGACTAAATTAGAGTAAATTACATCCCATGCTTTTATAATTATGTCAAAATGTTATGTATAACTAAAATGAACCAACAAAAAGAAAAGGAGAAAAAATATCATCAACAAAATGAAAAGACAATCCACAGAACAGAAACAATTTTTGCAAATCATTTATGTGATAAAAAGTCTTTCATCCAGAATCTGAAAGTCCTACAACTTGACAACAAAAAGATAACCCAAATTATATATAAAATGGGCAAATGACCTTAATAGACAATTCTCAAAACACACACACACACACACACACACGCACGGACGCACACACACGGAATGACATTCAATCCTCAGGGAGATATACTAAAACCACAACTAGGTACTACTTCATAATTACTAGAAAAACTATAATAAAAAGATAATAACAAGTCTTGATAAGAATTTGGAGATATCAGATCCCTCATACATTACTGGTGGGAATGAAAAATGATGCAGCCATTTCACCAGTCTCAAATAGCAGTTACTCAAATAGTTAAATATTCAGTTGCCATAGAACCCAGCAAATCCACTCCTAGGAATTTACCGAAGAGAAGTGAAAACACATATCCATGCAAAAATTGTATGAATTTTTTTTTCAAAAGAGCATTATCCATAATAGCCAAAGTGGAAGCAACCCCAATGTCCATCAAGTGATACATGGATCAATAAAAGGTAGTATATACAATGGAATATTATTTGGCCATATAAAATTCAATACAGATACAAAGTGGATAAATGTCAAAAAAAAATATGCTACGTGAAAGAAGCCAGTCACAAGGATCATATATTGTATGACTCATGTGTTTGAAATGTTCTGAACAGGCAAATCCACAAACATAGAAACAGATTAGGGCTCTCTAGGATAGAGGTGGTACATGAACAATGGAAATTCTCTTCCGGGGTGATAGAAACATTCTAAGATTAGATTACAGTGATGGTTGCACAATGCTGGGAATATACTAAAAACTACTGAACTAAACATTTTTAATGGGTGAGTTTTACATTGTGTATATTCTATTTCATTAAAGCAGTTAAAACAGAAAAGTTGCATTTCAGTGAATCAGCCAGTGAATATTAATCTGCTTTTTTTTTTCCAAAATGACAAAACATTTAATTCACATGCTTCAAGAAAACACAGTACATGGTAAATATTTACTTTTTTGGTGAAGCTTACTATTGTGATTCTCCACAGGATGCCAACTGGGTTTTACCCTTATCAAAGAGCCCATGCAGGAAACGGCTTCCCAGCCATAGGAAAGCACTATACCTCATCGCAAAGCGCTGCTGCTGATGCCAGAGGGTGCGAGACATAGACTTATTTCAAAGCAACAGGGAATTCTGGACAAAGGTAAAGGTTTTATTTCAGTGGAGGCAAAAAAAAAAACAAAAACCTACAAATATTTGA